TTTCCATTAAAGCAGCAGCTCTTACATTAAATTTAATTTTTAAAAAAATTTTGATGTTTAGAGGCAAATTTGACCTATATCTTTATTATAAAAGATACTAGAGGGGGGAAAAAAAGCAAGCTGACATTCTAATGATTTCATATATTTCAAACTTTCAAATTTTTAAATCTAAAAGAATTCCTTTAAAAAGAAAGTACATGTTTACATTTTCTTCTATTGAATTCTGATGTCTTGCCATCAAATAATTATAAAAAATTAAAAGAACTCCTGCAGAGAAAAAATTATGTCTTTTGTCATAAGTAAATAAATTTTTTCTATACAACTTATTAATGAAGCCTTTTAATTTTAGGCCACCTCTGCTAGAAAGTTTCTTTTTAAGCTATATTTTTAAATAAACAAAACTCTCCCTGTTTCCTAACTGTTTATAACAGGTATATCCAGCACCTGTGGTCCCAGTTGCCTAGGAGGCTTATGCATGAGCAACTCTGGAGCTCAGAAGTTCCAGGCCAGCCTGGGCAACATAGCAAGACCCAGTATCAAAAGAAAAGAAGGGAGGGAGGAGGGGAGAAGGAAGAAAGGAACAAAAGAATAGAGGGAGGGAAGCAAGGAAATTTGTTTCTAAACAGTTTACATGGAGAGTTAATAAAAGATATTTCTTTTTTAAATCACAACTGCCTTAGAAAAAAATGCAGTAATCAATTTAAACCTATAATAGCTTTATTTCTGTTAATATAAATTAAAATTGCTATTATAAGTGTTCAAATTCTGAAAATACAAGCCTGTTTTCAGACATTCACATTTCATAATATTTCTGTTTGAAAGGATTCTTTAAAACATTATCTTCCAGGAAACAGAATCCTAGTTATTTATTTAGGTACTAGAAATTGAACCTATGGGTGCTTTATCACTGAGCTGTATCTATAGTCCCTTTTATTTTTTCTTTTGAGACAGGGTCTTAGTAAGTTGCTTGGGGCCTCACTAAATTGCTGAGGCTGTCTTTGAATTTGTGATCCTCTTGCCTCAGTCTCTGAGCCACTAGGATTACAGTAGTGGTCCCAGTTACCTAAGAGTAACCACATCCAGCCAGTAATTTACTTTTAATATTCCTTCCATAATTCTTCATTATTAGAAATTTAACTATTGTTGATAAGGATTCAAAGTTGACAAGACTATGTCAGATGTCAAGAAATTATTTACTATTTTAAACCGATTAACTCCAAATTTCTACATATTTAAATCAAAACTTCGTATTTTAATCTTTGCTTCTTTTTAATCACAATAGTGTACATCATATACAATTCTATTTGTATTGGTTAGGGAAGAAAGTGGGTGGAAGGGGAGAAAATATTACTTATTACACAATAATCTAAACACTAGCCCTTGTGTAAAACTCTTAGGAAGGTTTTCATTTTTACTTAAACTTTCATTTTCCTCTCAGTTTCATATTAATCTGGTTATCTCCTCAAGGAGAAGCGCCCTGGTTCAGACCAGAATTACTCCTTTTGGTACTGCTTTCTCTCTTTTGAAGTCATGACTTATTTTATATTGTCTGCTTGGTTAATTAATACAGTATGTGTTTCTTCTCTGGATGGCCCACTTAATCAGAACTGAGGTGAGGTGTTCTGGAAAGGTGTCCATCTTGGAAAGGAAATAAAGTACCTCACCAAGGCCATGATTTAAGTCTTCTTCAAGAAAAATGTCCTGTGACTCTTCAGTTCTCCAAGATGATCAGAGGACACAATACTATAGATTTGGTATAACCTTCCCCATTTTGGAAAGATAATAAAACTCAGTCTTTCAAACACATCAGACACTGAATACTGGGGAAAATACAAAGATCCGAGATATGTTTTCTTCAGTCTCCAAAGACATTTACAAATAACTAACATGCAACGGAAATTACAAATATCCCAAGAGATATAAGTTCAGGAGAGATTATATACAGCTGCAATTGAAGCTAGCAGGAGAGGGAAGAGTTCAATAGTAATTTCATTAAGATTGTGCAAAGAAAAGGCAGGGCAGGGACTCTTGGTAAAAGAAAATAAAGACAGAAAAACTAATAAACCTCAGAGTATCTTACTTCTCTAAAGCACAGAGCATGATGCTTTTTAAAAACGAGTTTCAACATTAGCTAAAGTCAAAATACTTAATAATCAAATACATTAAACTTAATACATTAATATTTTTACTACTGAACAAATCACTCAGATGAGCCACTATAAAAATATACAAGGAGAATTCATAATCTGAAGTAAAATTATCTAAAATGTATTAATACATATACATTCTATACACACAGAAAGAGGAATTTTTTGTTGCTTACTTAATAACAGTTGAGGTATGAGGAACCTAAACTATAATTTCATCAGTTTACAACAATCTTTTCAGGCTGATAGGTAAGTGATACAGGGTGGTAACCTGGCATTTTGTTCTAATCCACAAATGAGGCGATAATGTGACCAACCAGCTGCAGATCCCTTCCTGCAATTCAGAAGCTCTGGGTATCCACACACTTGCAGCTCTGTATAACTTCACACAAAAGACTGACAATTGGTCAAAAAGCCTCCACCATGGTATACACTCCCCAAGGTTTAAGATTTTCCATTTAATTCCAATTCATCCATGAAATGACATATACTTTACCAGACTGTATCAATGTAAAACAAATTAAATTCAATTTCAAAGTAAAAAAAGTATTCCCCTAAAATATAAAAAGTAAATCTATTAAAACATATGATCTATATTTTAAAGAGCCCTATGAATATTTAATTTCACTCCATTCAGATAATCACTATTTCCTCAGAATCTTACCAATAGAAAGAACACCAACTGCAAACTTGATATATCAGAGATTTTAATAGAGATTTCCAAAGTTGCCCATTAAGTATTTCATGCATATTGCTAAATGAAGATCAAAATGAATGTTTTCAACATCTGGTACACACACAGGTTGATATGACTTTAGACAATAATTGTGTGACAGATAGTTCAACAATGATCCTAATTTCTGTTTTTTTGTTTTGTTTTGTTTTTTGGTACCAGGGATTGAACCCAGGGATGCTTAACCCTGAGCCACATCCCCAGCCCTTTTTAATTATTTTATTTAAAGATAGGGCCCGGCTAAGTTGCTTTAGGACCTTGCTAAGTTTCTGTGGCTGGCTTTAAACTCTGGATCCTCCTGCCTCAGCTTCCCAAGCTGCTGAGATTTCAGGCATATACCACCATGCCTGGCTAATGACTGCTATTTTTAAAGCAGAAATACTTGCAAATATACAGAAACACATGGTTGTATAAATCAAGTAGCTCTGTAATTCTAGTTTTCTAAGGGATTGGGGAACTACCAGAAATACTTCAACAGCCTGACTAATATGCTTAAATTTAGTAGAAAAGAGTATGCTGCAGTAGCCAATAACAATAAACTGAGCATTAGTTGTATAAAGATCTGAGGAAGACTTTGATTTTAATTGAAATCTTTGTGTACCTTTAGATGCTCTCTCTTCTAGGTCTAGACACCTACATAAAGGATCACTGAACGAGAAGGTGTCTGAAAGGCTAAACCCTAAGAGATTTATTCAATAGCAAAAAATTAGTAAGATTACACCTTTTAAAGTTGAAAAGATCTGAAAACCACTGACTATTTTCTTCCCTTTAATGGGCATTTTTCTCTAATGATAATATACAGAAAATGCAGAAAAGGATTGGCACAAAACTTCAGTAGAAAATGTAAATTAAAAAAGGTATCTGGATATAATGCTAAGTGAAGTAAGCCAATCCCAAAAACCCAAATGCTGAATGTTCTCTCTGATATAAGGATATTGATTCATATTGGGGTTGGGTGGGGGAGCATGGAAGGAATAGACGAACTCTAGATAGGGCAAAGTGGAGGCGGGGGGAAGGAAGGAGGTATGGGGGTAGGAAAGATGGTGGAGTGAGATGGACATTATTATCCTAAGTACATGCATGAAGACACAAATGGTGTGATGCTACTTTGTGTACAATCAGCAATATGAAAAACTGTGCACTATATATGTAACATGAATTGTAATGCATTCTGCTGTCATATATAACAAATTATAATTTTTAAAATGGTATCTGGACTTTATCCCTTTCTGTCCATTATTACTTTCATATAACATTCAAGAACTATATGGCAAGAAAATCTCTTTCTGAAGGCACCCTTTAACATCTTTATTGTTTTCCCCTCAAAATCAACAACTGTTAGAACTAAAGCTAAAATGATTAAAACAAGAACTTTTCATCATATTTTGCTAGTCAAGGAAGGAAGGAAATATTTCACACCAAAATCAAAACTCCAAAAAATTATGTTTTCTGTGCATACCAAATAGATATGAATTGTTAAACCTCACTTGTAACCCAAACAACATGTTCTAAGTCACAAAAATAGATACTACTTTAATATCATTTCATGAAATAAAGATGTATATTATATTACAAAAGACACTGGGCCTCTAACCCCTATTTAAAAGTTGAAATACTTAAAAAAAATAGCCTGAAAGGATACATACCAAATTCTTGACATTTATCTCTCATAGAAGAGAACCGCTCCAAGAGAAGGAAGATTGTCAAAACAATCTTTTAAACAATGAAAATAATTTTTTTAAGATTATATGACAAATTGTTAAGTGGACAGTAGAAATATGGGTCGTTATATTAGTCTTCGGTTTAAAACAACACAAAACAAATTATAATGAATAATAACAATGAAATCCTTTTCTTTCTCTGAAGCTTAATGGGATGGGCAAAGAGCAGAGGGATGGGAAAAAAGAGGAGGCCTAGAAGCTGAAAGAAACAATGCAAAGTGAAATCTGAATGAATTAAAAAGGGTACTCCTGATGGCTCCTATCCCCTATAAATCTAACAAGACTAAAAGGAGGTAATGGCAATAACAACTGGCTTAGGGAGAGGGAAAGGTAAAGAAGATAAGAGCACACTTGCACACAGACAATATGAAACATCACTTCCAGAAAATATTAACTTACCAATATGTACTGTAGCTACTGCAATCCATACACACTGTATGCTGAGCTTTATCTTGCTTTTCTGACTTCTTGTGGTTGGTTAAGGGTATTTGTGCATCTTCATAATGTTTTTTTGCATGGCCATTCACATACCTTATAAAAACCAAATGAAAGTTTATTGCAATATAAATATTGTTCTGAAAATTAAAGCACTAAGAAATAATAAACCAGGCATGGTATCACACACCTATAATCCCAGTGACTCAGGAGGCTGAGGCAGTAGGATCACAAGTTGCCTTGGCAACTTAGCAAGACTCTGTACCAAAATAAAACATAAAAAGGGCTGGGGATGTAGATCATTGGTAGAGTATCCCTGGGTTCAATCCTTAGTACCACCCCCCCGCCAAAAAAAAAAACAGATAATAAAATTCAGTGTTAATTAAATTGAAACAAGAAAGAACTATAAAAGCATTCATTCAATTACTCAGTTCTAAAGAAGAATGAAATTATGGCATCTGCAGGTAAATGGATAGAACTGGAAACTATCATGAAACAAGCCAATCCAAAAAAACCGAAAGCCCAATATTCTCTCTGATATGCAGATGCTAACACACAATGGGGTGGGAGGGATAAAAATTCATTGGATTAGACAAAGGAGAATGAAGGGAAGGAAGGAGGAACAGGAATATTAAAGACAATAAAATGAACTGGACATTACTTTCCTATGTTCCTATGAATATATGTTCCTACTTTTCTATGAATACATGACCAATATAACTACACATAGTATACAACCACAAGAATAGAAAGTTATACTCCATGAATGTATACTATGTCAAAATCAACCCAGGGCCTCACAAATTGTAGGCAAGAATACCCACAACCCCTAAGGTCAGCTTATTTTTTTTTAAGAAGTTTATTTCGGCTCTTTAATTTTTTTTAACTTGTCTGCAGTCTACTTTTAATTGTTCATTAGACTAGGGCCAGGCAAGCAAAGGGATTACCCATGCAGATCAATGTCAGTATCACTGATATTATTATCACTTACAAATTTCTCTGCTGATGCTTTTGCTATAACTTTTTTCTTTTTCTAAATTTTTCAGATTTTTAGCTCCCAACTTGAGCAATTACCAAAGATAAGTTCTGTAAAGAAAGTAATCAACCATTTTCCACAGGGTCATAGCTTAAATATGTCAGTCAAAATGAAAAAAAGGATAATCCTCTTTCTCATCGACTTGGCTTCAGATCTTTTGTTTGAATGCCTGAATAATCACCTATTCTTAGACAGAAACACATTTATTTGGAAACAATCCAAATAAAACACAAATCATCTTAAGTTTATAAAACTTATTTTTCTACATGGACAAAGATTATCAAAGGGTGATTATATTCATACAAATTTTATAACATTTTTCAATACAGATATAATAAATCATTTTATTAAAGCACGCAAAATGAAATCAAGTATGGATTCATATGCACATGTATACATGTAAATTCATCCACACCTTTACCTGAACACCACACAATACTACACTGCCACTACGGAAACCCTATAACACAAAACTTGCCAGGTCCTAGAAAGCAGCCAATTTGTAGAAGGCAAAGTCTACTTAAACAGTTAAAACAAATCTGGGTTAAATGGCACCAAAATAAACAAGCTTAGAGAGTTCAGACAACATTTTCACCATGAAGCACATTAATTGTACCAAAGCAACACTTACCTTAGGGAAAGTAGGACAGTTATGGTAACTTCAAACCTACCTTCTATATCCCAGGAAAATGGAACACATTCAAGGCAATATTAACTCAAAATTTAATTTTACTCTCCCCCCCTTTTTTTTGAAAGTGGGGGTGGGGTACTGGGGATTGAAGTCAGGGACACTTGGCCACTGAGCCACATCTCCATCCCTATTTTGTATTTTATTTAGAGAGACTCACTGAGTTGCTTAGCACATCCCTTTGGCTGAGGCTGGCTTGGAATTCAAGATCATCTTGCCTCAGCCTCCAGATCTGCTGGGATTATAGGTGTGTGCCACAACACCAGGCTCTTTTTCCATTTTTTTGATACAACTTTAAATGTTTTAAATACAATTAACTCTTAGGTATATACATGGGTCCCCACAAGTGAAGTACAATGAATTTTAAAGTAAAATAACTGTTAAAAGTATAAGCCCCAAAACTACATTTACTGGGTTCAAAAGAAACCTTTATCACATTCTGGGATATGAGCTTAGGTGAGTTATTAATCTTTCTGTGCTTGTTTTCTTATTCATAAATAGAGGTAACAGTATAGTACTTGTGTTTAACAGGTTATCAGGTGATTATATTAGTCCATGACTCAAAATGAATGAATGTATTTTATTAGCATTTTCCTTTCTATGCTTAACTACTATTTCTTGAGAATTCAAACAACAGAATTGCTTAGAAAAAGAGACACATTAAGCAAATATTTTGAGGTAATACATCATTGCATAGGTCAAGAAACACTAATTAAAAAGGCAAACTATGCTATTAGGTTCAACATCTAATCATGTTAATTTCTATTCTTATATTTATACTCCATATTATGAAAAATAATGGTACTATTTATGATGGGGAGTACCTTTAGAATAAAAAAATTAATACTGAACAATAATAATAAATGACATTACCACTTTCAAGTTTTTGAAAACTCGTCATCTTTACATAGTGCACATACAATCATTCGTTTAATTACAATACTACAGTCTCCAAATACACTAGATGTGCAAATGGTTCCTATAAATGTCAGTGATAAAGTCAGAAGTGTGACTATTGATGACATTAAGATCATCAATCTTAACTGGTAACTGGATAATACCCAAATACGTTAGTCAAAAGTTAACAGTTTTGAATTAGATGCAGTGGCACATGTTTGTAATCCCAACAACTTGAGAGGCTGAGGAAGAATAGAAAATTTGAAGCCAACCTTGACAACTTAGTAAATTGTTTCAAAATAAAAAGGGCTGAGGATATAGTTCAGTGTTACAGTGCTTGCCTAGAATGCATAAGGCCATGGGCTGAACTCCAGCATAGCAAAAAAAAAAAAAAAAAGTTAACAGTTTTATATAAACTAGCTAGCTTATATAAAAATAAATATTTCCCTCATGGAGTTTCGGATTTTAAATACTGTAGAGATTTTGGCCTATAGTACAAGAGGGAAAGTTTCATCGTATGTGTCAGAGATTGCTAACTAAAATCACAAAAAAATAAATAGGAGGTATTATGAAGACCAACAGAATATGTAGCTCAAATATGCTATTGATAAACTATGTTTCCTAGTTGAAAGAATATTCAACTTTAGACAAGTAGACTAAAATTACTAAAAAATCAGTACATTTAGCAATCAACACCTAGAATTACATGTTTTACCACCATTATTGTCTTTTATGAAAATTAGCTAGTCAGCTACATAAAATGGATATCTAAATTCAGGCTACTGTTAATATTCTACTTACTTAAACATATTTCTCTGAAGCTAAGTCAAATGTCTAAATTTAAGCTTGCTTATAATTAGAAACAATCTACCTGCAGAGTCCAGACATTTTTCAATTTGTTTTTCCAAAAATCTACCTAGAGAATTGTTTGTTGCTTGCTATTGAGAACATTAATTCTCCAATTTTTTCCTCAAAAATCTGTGAGGTCTTTTTACTGGCATATGATCTTTAAGATTTTTAGGTTTTATAAGATAAGAAGAAGACATAACTAGATAAATTTTATTGCATTATAATTCTCACCTCACAAAATCTAGGAGAGGGATGTGTCTCTTTGAGTACAGAATTTAAATGCTTCTACTTTTCTTCTCTTTAAAAAGTTATCTGTACAAAGTACTTTCAAGTTTCCTAAATCCTAAAGATTTTAAAACCACAACAGCCAAAATTAAGAGAAGCAGTTAACATTTCCAATGTACTCTTAAGTGTCTGTGGAAAGAACACTCAATTCCAGAACTTAATATGTGGGGTTAAAAAAAAAAAAGTGAAGTGAACAAAGATGTTCTTTTCATGCAACGAGGATCTAAAGATAACAATGGGGAAATATTCCAGATAAGCACAACACATTTTCAGCCTGTGTGACTTGGTATGACTTCTCATCTTCTAATAATTTCAAAGTAGATTTTCTAAGCTAAAAGAGCAGTAGTAATAAATAAGCTATTGTGGCTAAAAGAACATAAAGGTTGATATTTGAGTATATATTAGAACAAGTGTCAAAAAATTTAATATCATTTTGAAGCCAAAAACTGGGAAGAAATGTTTGGGATTAAATCTGGGGTGCGGTGGGGGTAGGTGAAGTTAAGTCCATAGAAAGCAAAATGTCTTAATAGAACAATGAAACATTTGTTATATCTTAGGAATAAACAACTCTACAGTGAGGTCATTTTCAAAGGGAGTTATTTTATCTTTAAGGTGGGCATATAATAGATGAAACATGGAGAACATGGAGTTCAATTATATTCTTTTGACAGAGTGAGACCCCATCTCAAAGGAAGAAAACAAGGGAGGGAAGGAAAAAAGAAAAAAGTTCCCTTGTTTTGTTTTCCAACCAAATATTACTAACAGATTATCTTGATAATCAAATTAACTCTTCTAAGTATCAATATGAAGCATTTTTCCATAGATTTTCCCAGTTAATACCAAAGAACAAAAAGATTCAGTTGGAGAGGGAAAAGAACTATATGCTATGATTAACAAATCCAAGTCAATAAACTTTGACATAAAGCTTAAAGGCAAATATTAAAAAGCAAATAGGGTAGTGAAGTAACAAGTATGCCACCTACCTTCCACAGTGGACACTTGAACAAGTCAAACAGACCCAAGGGCTTTTGTTGGACCGGCACACTAATAAAAAGAAAAATACAATATAGCAATTATATCATGTTATTTCTCAATTTCTCCCCTAATCTGTAACACATATCCTGTGATCAAGTTATAAATTCCGAGGCTGTTTAGGTGCAATGAGTCATAAAACCTTGCTTTGTGAATGCAAATACAAACAGCTGCATTGAAAATAATATAAGTGCATGTCCACTACAGCTGCTTATTTTAATTGTTTATTTAATTCAAATAGCTTAACCACAAGTTAAACACATATACTTTTCTCCTTTATTACTTATTTCCTTTTACCACAGTCTCCAACAAGTTAATGATAGTCTATTTTAAGTCTAGTCTTCTAATCATACATCTTTGCCATGCAGGTCCTTTACCACTATAAATAACAACTATTTCAGTATATTTAGTAAGAGGCACACCCTAAGGTTATAGTTATGAAGAGTAAGCCTAATTTTTAAAAAAGTAACTCTCAGTTGTGTAAAATACATGACAATGGCATATAATTCTTGCTAATATTATAATCAGGATGATATAATCAGATATAAGTAATATTATTTTAGGTATTACAGGAGTAGGACTGGCAAGGAGGAGTAAGAAAACATTTAAAATTCTAGTTAAATTTTTCTTTGCTTTTTACTCATTTGATTAAAAATATGTTCAGTACATGATTTTCAAAAGAAGAGCAATATAAAATCACCTGGAAGCCAGGCATGGTGATGCACACCTGAAATCCCAGCAACTGGGGAGGCTGAGGCACGAGGATCACAAATTTGAGGCCAGCCTTGGCAACTTAGCAAGACCCTGTCTCAAAATAAAGTAAAAGGGCTGGGGATGTGGCTCAGTGGTAGAGGACCTCTGTGTTCAATCCCAATTATCCCTACACACACACATACACACACAAAATTACTTGAAAATCTTTTTCAAAACACCTCTATTCCACTGAGGCAAAGATAACAACACTAGGATTGAAAAAGTACAAGGATGAAGATGTATCTAAGTTGTAGAGCACTTACTTAGCCTACATGAGACGCTGGTTCAATCCCCAGTACCACCAAATAAAAAGAAATACAAAGAACATGCATATTTTGAGAAAAGCAGCTTCTCAGATGATACCCTAATAAAACCCCTTTCGAAGTACTAGTCAGCCTCCTAGAGATATGGGCAGGATACCAACAGCACAACCACACACTCAGGATCACACCTGGCTCTTAGTAGGAACTTAATAAACATCTGTTAGAAATAAAGTTTAATTTTCTTAGTGTAAGAAACCATGCTTTTCCAAAATCTGGTGCCTACTTTCATCTTTCTTGCATTATCATCTATCACAAGCCTTTTTCACAGTCAAGAAATTGTAAATAAGGCAAATCAAGAATAAAGTACCCTTTTCACTTGTACATTGCTGGTGGGACTGCAAATTGGTGCGGCCAATTTGGAAAGCAGTATGGAGATTCCTGGGAAAGTTGGGAATGGAACCACCATTTGACCCAGCTATTGCCCTTCTCGGACTATTCCCTGAAGACCTTAAAAGAGCGTACTATAGGGATACTGCTACATCGATGTTTATAGCAGCACAATTCACAATAGCTAGACTGTGGAACCAACTTTGATGTCCTTCAATAGATAAATGGATTAAAAAATGTGGCATTTATACACAATGGAGTATTACTCAGCACTAAAAAATGACAAAATCATGGAATTTGCAGGGAAATGGATGGCATTAGAGCAGATTATGCTAAGTGAAGCTAGCCAATCTCTAAAAAACAAATGCCAAATGTCTTCTTTGATATAAGGAGAGCAACTAAAAACAGAGCAGGGAGGAAGAGCATGAGAAAAAGATTAACATTAAACAGGGACAAGAGGTGGGAGGGAAAGGGAGAGAGAAGGGAAATTGCATGGAAATGGAAGGAGACCCTCATTGTTATACAAAATTACATATAAGAGGATGTGAGGGGAAAGGGAAAAAATCAAGGGAGAGAAATGAATTACAGTAGATGGGGTAGAGAGAGAAGATGGGAGGGGAGGGGAGGGGGATAGTAGAGGATAGGAAAGATAGCAGAATACAACAGTCACTAGTATGGCAATATGTAAAAACGTGGATGTGTAACCGATGTGATTCTGCAATCTGTATACGGGGTAAAAATGGGAGTTCATAACCCACTTGAATCAAATGTATGAAATATGATATGTTGAGAGCTTTGTAATGTTTTGAACAACCAATAAAAAAAGAATAAAGTACCCTTTTAATGTATCCAGAAACATTTATTTTAACAAGTTCTTCCAAAGATATTTAATTATAATACCATTGTTTGACCTGCCCTTTACTGTAGTTTAGTTCCAAATTCTGTGATAATACAGATTAATTTGTAGATTTTTATTTTGTAGAGACAATTTCTAGACAGCAAACTCCCATCATTATGATCCTGTGATTATTAACCAACTTTGTATCTAGTCTAACCATTTGATTCCAATGCTTTCCTTAGTATCTATATACATAAGTTCCCAAATGCTCTGGGAACCAACTTTACCATTCTACTGGTTCCCTCATTAATAAGTCAAATAAATCTTTGATTATGCCCATTCTGTATTCCTATAAGAGGGGAGAAGGAAGGGGAAAAGCAGAATAAAGTGACATTCTGTCTAACAGACTCTCCCATCTGGCCAGAATAGGACTTGAACTGTTTTTGAAAATGAAAGCTTTGAGAGAGAAAATCCCCTTCAAGTTAGCCAAAGGCCCTCCTTTTCCTTAATACAGTCACACATTTACCTTAATTGACAAGGCTGTCCTTGAAGATATTTGAGTGTTTTACTGAACTATGTCCAATTCTATTACACATGCATGTAAAGCTGCATGACGGAAAGACCTAAAAGAATGCCTACCAAACTGTTAATCATTATTTAGGCAGATACATGGGAAAACTATTGTAAGGGAAGACCATTGGCTTTGTATTTGCACATCTCTGTAGTGTTAGCCTCACATGAAAAGAATATGACATTTTTATAGTTTGAAAAAAGTCCAATAAAAAAGTACTTTAAAATGTTGGGTACCATGGTGCACACATGTAATCGCAGTGACTCTGGAGGCTGAGGCATAAGGATCACAGTTCAAGACCAGCCTCAGCAACTGAGACTCTGTCTAAATAAATTAAGTAAATGGGTGGGGAATGTGGCTTAGTGGTTAAGTGCTATGGGTTAAATCCTTGGTACAAAAAAATAAAAGTACATTAGAACAAAGCTTACTTGAATAGGTATTCATGGTTTGAGGTATACTTTGGAGGACTGGGAAAACAATATTATGCTTTTTTGTTCTATCAAGTCTTTGTTTTAGCAAATATTAAGAAACATTGTAACTCAATCTGGAAAAAAAAAAAAAAACGTTGAAGCTTGTGTGTTACAGTGGAAAATTGGGTGTTGAACTCAGGGGTGCCAGAGTTATATCCCCAGGCCTTTTTCATTTAGTTTCAAGACAGGGTCTTCCTAAAATGCCCAGGTTGATCTCAAACTTTCAACCTTCCTATCTCAGCCTTCCAAGTAACTGGGATTACAGGCATGTGTCACCTGGCCCAGCTCTTGTCAAAATTTTTTAGTATTCTAAAATAAATAATTATATTACAGTAGTAGATTTAGGCCCAAGTTAAGCATTCAAAGAGTTTTTAAATTATGCAGGATGTTCTCCTTTTTTCCTTTTGATTTGGAGTGTTTCCTACCAAGTGTTCCTTTTCCCCTTTTTTATAGTTACAAACATACACACAGTGCAGTTTTGTGATCTTATTTTTCCTCTATTGTTATATGAGTGCATTTTCTCACATTATTGCTTTTAAAACAGGGTATTATATCTCTGGACTTAAAATAGGTCAAAAACTATTATTAATTCTTAAAACTTCTGAGTTACAAATTTTAAAATGATACACTAAGGTTTAGGGGGAAAGAATTCAAATAATCCCTTAATGGTATGGGTTTTGAAATGATAAAAATGTTTTGGAACTAGACAGAGGTGGTGGTTGTGGAACAACTATGGATGTACTAAATGCTACTGAATTTGTTCCCTTTTAAAAATGGTTGATTTTATATATGAATTGCACCTAAGTAGAAGATACCTACATGTAATACTCTTAAGGCAAGGATGAAGAGAAAAAATAAAAGGAAATAAGGTTCTGAACTTCCAAAAAATTGGAAAAAGTGACTGTGCCTTTTTAATAAACCTAAAAATAAAAATACAAAAACAAAAATCCCTTCACTGATTCAAGAAATCTGATATCTTCTATCATTTATTATAAGAAAGTTGATGTGTGATAGAGCAGTTAGTCTTGGCTATTTAATCGACTGTACTCCCTGAGAGTATAATATATTCACAGCAAAAAAAAGAAAATGTAATGACTAGAAAACTATAGAGAATAGGGATATTATAGGGGATTCTGAAGCCAATAAATAGCATTGTTTTGGGAAATATTTACTCTGTTTATACCCCTTACCCCAGTTTAAGAACTGTTAGTATACCCAAGACAATTATAAGATGAAGGATACTTGCTTTAAATTAAACTAATTCTCCATTATTGTTAAGAATAAAACAGGTGGATGGAGATGTAGCTCAGCAGTAGAGTGTCTGCCTAGCTTGCTTGAGGCCCTGGGTTCAATCTTCAGTACCAGAAAAATTAAAATGAAGGAAAGAAAGATCATAGCATGAGTGACAGAATACTACAGATCATCTTAATATCATTTATTTTGGACACCTTTAGGGAAAATGTCTTATTATTAAAAGGAGTTCCAATTTGTAGACAGATACATTTCAAAAGTTTATCTGTAGTATGAATGCATTTCCCATAGAAACAGAATTAAAAGTTTCTAGGCTCTTCTATAAAATGCTACATGAAACTTAAATACTGGTACATGCACACATACACATACACATGATAAACACACACATAATAAAATATTTTTAAGTTCTGAATACAGTATCTATTCAGCAAAACATAAAATAATTAAATCAAAGGGTTTTTTAAAAAATATTTTTA